AAGGGAAGTTTAGGTTACATATTAGAAAGAACTTTCTCACTAGGGGGGCAGTAAAACACTAGAACAGGTTATCCAGAGAAGTTATGCACTCTCCATCCTTGCAGGTTTTCAAGACCTGGCTCAACAAAGCTTTTACTGGGATGATATAGTTGGAACTGGTCCTGGTTTGAGCAGGGGGTTGGACTACATCAGGGGGTGTCAACCAGGGGTATGTGACAGTGGTAAGGAAAAGCGGGGAGTGGGACCGCCAGCACTTTGCGATGCTTGTTGCCAAGGGACTCCTCCCCAGGTCAACCGGCCACTGGGGGACTGGTCCCCCAGTCGACCAGCCACCAGGGGGTACACCAACCAAAAAAGGTTGAAAACCCCTGAACTAGATGACCTCCTGAGGTCCCTTCCAACCCTCATTTTCTGCGATTCTGAGAGTCTTTTTTGAACATTCCACTAAGGATGCCTCCGGTGATCCAAGGTTAAGTACTCTGGTACTGCACACCACGTTTAAAGACAGTTCCCCAATAAAAGTCAAACTGGCAGGAGTCCTCTCATGAGTATTTGCATATAAACAGATCCCTATAAAATGCTGATTGTGCAGAGGTGGAGAAAACATCACCGCTCACAAACCTCTTTTCCTAGATCCATTTAAAACTTAAAGACACTCTCAATATATTATAAAGCATACGTGGAAGATTCGAATAGATATTTAAAAAAAATTGTGTTGCCGAAACAACGCAGAGCAAGAATTTACATATAATGTCATATTCCACACTGCATTTAACATCCTTCCGTTATAGGCAATATTCAGTTAAGTAAAACTTGTTGCACTCGTAATTATTTACATATTAATTCAAAGAAAATTCCTTCAGTTTCAAAGTTTGACCTCTGAAGCTCAGCTTCATAATGGTCTAGAATAGCACAGAGAACGCAAAGGAGAAAGGAGCTTGCATTAAAACGTTACCATCCACTCCCCCTTCAGTATAATTTCAGAGGTTCTGTCACCTAGCTTTTGTTGGCTAAAGGATCACAAGTAAATGAGGTTCACTGTGAACCCTGTTTTGTTTTTTTAACTGAAGTCTGCAAGGCAAAAACACTAATCTCAGGACCATGCCTTCATATATACACAGAACCTGTTATGAAGACAGACACTTGGGTTTATTTCCAAATTTTCCTTGTGAATTTCAGTTTTCTGTCTCGATAATCCATGCTCTAATATAAGCTATGGCATACAGATGTTTAAAGGGGAAAAGAGAGAGAGAGAGAGAGAGAGAGAGAGAACACAGGCCCAAGAAAGGGAGGAGCCTCGGGAGCAGATACATTCAACTTCAGAGAACACAGAAAGTCATTTTGTCCATTGGTTTCCAGTGACCCCTGCCAGCTCTTTCAGGAACCGCACTGTTTGGCTCCAAGAATTGCTCCACCCTACACTCCTTGATGCATGGAAAAGAGCTCTCTCATTTCATTAAAATGCACAGCGAGTTCTCTTAATATAGCTCTGCGCCCATGCCCAGCATGTCACTAGCATCTCTTTGCTTCCCATTTTAACGTTTGCCCAGTCTAAATCTTCCTGGAATGCAGGTAACGACCACACAGCAACAACCCCAAACGGTCTGTTATTGTATTTGTGAACGCACCGAAACTCTGACTATCCCATTGCTGTGTCCATCCCCAAGCAAGAGCTAGTTCATAACTCTTAAAGAAGTGACTGCAGGAATGCAATATGACCAGCAATATAAGAATCCACTCCTGCTACAAACCAGCAAACAAAGAGGCTAATTCAAAGCTCTTACTCGATGACTCAAAAGTCATTTTATCCTTAGTTACTTTAGACATAAACATAACTGTGTGGACACCAAGGAACACAGAGCAACAGGACACGACACCCAAGGACATGAAAAGCCCACTACAAACTTGGATGGGAACCTGCAGTGTCTTATTCCCAACTTCACCGAGGGCCCTGAAAGCAGTTTCCAAACACGGTGGAGCAGCTCTAACGGGGGTAGGGGGGAAAAGGGAGAGGGGGAGCACAAAAGACACCCACCCCCCACAAAAGATGTGTAAAACCAAAACACCACGGAAAGCGCACGCACGTTATCGTACAGAAACCAAAACAAGACACCTTTTGCAGGAGGCCACAAATTTAGCAGTGAATGGAGGCAGGTCACCAGAAGCCTCCAGCGCTGCAGAAAGCAGATGCTATATATAGCTCCTCATAAAGAGGAAAGTAGAGAAAAGCAGACATCATTCCTACCGCGCTGCAAGACGGCCCGGATCCACCGCCCTGCCCTTGGAAATGGACCAGGCAGGGCTAAAAGCACCAGTGGTGGCCTCCCCAACCGCGGGGTGAAGGAGGACGCCTCCGGGCCGCTGCCGCCGCCCCCCGAGCCACAAGCAGCTCCAAAAAACCCACCGATTTCCTCGAGGGGCGGCGGGAGCCTGGCACACACGTGCCCGCAGCCGGCTCGGAGGAGCCCCGAGGCCGCGGCGCCCCGCAGACCCCCCAGGGAGGATGCGGGGACGGCTCCGGGGAGCCTCAATGTGACCGCGCGCCCAGCCACATGGCGCGGCTGCAGCATGCCCCC